CTGGTCTCAAATCCTTCTATTCAGTGCTGTAGGATAAAGGTGCACCTGAGCTCAGCCACTCCCATAAGGCACCTTTCTGAGCTTGGAGGTCCCTGTTCCTCTGTCCTGTCTGTTTTTCACTCTAGAAATGCTTTTTCTGTGACCCTGAGGAGCCTCAGGAACCAGAGGGGTGGTAAAGTGTGCCCTGGCTGATGCCCCCTGGCTGGAGTTATGTCTGGGTGAGCAGGCAGTAATCATGGTGACAAGACGGGCAGCTGCAGCCCACCCGGGGGCAGGTGTGTGGGGTGCCATTGGTGCCCCCCCTTGCTCTGGCTCTGCTGCTGTTCTTGGGTTGATCTTTTTGCCTGGCCAGTCGCCCCAGTCTCTCGAGACCACTTCCCAGGAGGAGGTGCTGGCTGGCGCAGCAGTGAATTGGTGAGGGGCCAGGCTTACCTCTGACCTGGCCTCACATCCACATCCCCCTGTAAGCTCTTGATCTTGGACAAGTTATTTAACTTCTGCTTTCAGTCATAGTTTCCAGAACTATAAAATGGGGTCAATGATAGGATCTCAGATGGTTTGGGGGAGAATTAAATGAGACAGTCAGGAGTGCCTGCACGCTATAGGCACTCACTAACCCACTCTCATGATCATTGGTCACGTCTGTCAAGTTGGTGTGTGTCCTGAGTCCCGTCTATCGTGACCAGGAGCGTGTGGCCCACATGCCCTCAGCAGGGCCTGGGAGAGGAGCAAGGCCCTAGGAAGGGGCCGCTGGCAGAGCAGGCACTGCATCTTCCTGGGCGAGCTGGGCTCTGCTTTCATTGTCCAGAGCTCTTTCCTGCAGACCCGAGACCACTGAGATCCTCCCCCGAGGGCTGAAGCCTGGCATCCTAGACACCCGGCAGTGGGTCCCCAGACCTGGGGAATGACTGGACCCAGTGCAGACCTGGCACAACTGACTCGTCCCACTTTGCTTGGCACAGTGTGCAGAGAAGAAGCCTGAAGCTGGTGGCCTGGAGGCAGAGCCCTGCCCAGAACTCCACGTGGAGGCACTGGAGACACTGACGCGGGCCCCCACAGCAGGCCCTGAGGGTGGGGGCGTCCGCCCTGAGCAGCCGTTCATCGTGCTGGGGCAGGAGGAGTACGGAGAGCACCACTCCTCCATCATGCACTGCAGGTGGGTTACCAGGGCCACATGGCTGGAGGGACTGGGTTCCCTGGAAGCCTGGGTTTCCAGGTTTAGTAGGCAGGAGGATGGGGAGAACAGGTGCTGATGGTGGGACAGTCCCAAGGGACCGTTGTCACTCCTAAACTGTCAGAGGACACTGGACAGCTGCCTT